CTGAGGATCGAACCCAGGGCCTCGCACATGCTAGGGGAGAGCTCTACCTCTGAGCCACAACCCCAGCCCCGTATTTGTATTTTTATTTGAACATCACAAAAAGTGATGTGGAAGAATAATGAACCAACTTGACACTGGTGATCTCGGTGGTGGGATTAGAGTGGGGAGGTAAAGTGTATTCAAAATGTCCTCTTCCTTGTTTAACAGGTTACCAGGTACATGAAATACCTCTGCAACTAAATCAAAGCCAAAGAAACACAAAACAAAGCTCACAAGCTGTGTGGCTCCTGTATCTGTATCGTGGCAGGTACACAGCATTGAGTCACAGGAACTAAATGTTCATTTATTGTGTTCGTGAGCTTTTTGTCACTATGAAAAAATATTTTAGACAAAGAACCTTTTTTTTGGTACCAGGGATTGAACTCAGGGGAACTTGACCACTGAGCCCCATTCCCAGCCCTATTTTGTATTTATTTAGAGACAGGGTCTCGCTGAGTTGCTTAGAGCATTGCTAAGTTGCTGAGGCTGGCTTTGAACTTGTGATCCTCTTGCCTCAGCCTCCTGAGCTGCTGGGATTATAGGCGTGCTGCATGGGGCATTGGGCCACACAAAGAAGTTAAAAGACAAAAGGATTGGCTTCTGGTTTCAGAGGTTTCAGTCCACGGTCACTTGGCCCTGTTGCTCTGAGCTCGTGGTGAGGCAGAACACTGTGGCAGGAAGTGAGTGGTATAGCAACGCTGCTCATTTCTTGGCAGGCAGGAAGTAAAGGGACAGAGACAGGAACCAACTCCCAATATCTCCTTTAAGGCCACACCCCCAGTGACCTATGTCCTTCCAGTAGGCCCCATCTCCACAAGGTTCCACCACCTCCTGGCAGCACCACAGGCTGGGGACCAAGCTTTTAATGCATGGACCTTTGGGGGCCACTTAAGAGCCAAAGCATAGCTGGGCACAGTGGAACACACCTGTCATCCCACTGGCTTGGCTCTGGAGGCTGAGACAGGAGGATTGAGAGTTGAAGGCCAGCCTCAGCAATTAAGTAAGGCCCTAAGCAACTCAGTGAGACCCTGTCTCTAAATAAAATAGGAAAATTGGCAGGGGATGAGGCTCAGTGGTTAGGCGCCCCTTGGTTCAATCCCTGGTACCAAAAAAAGAGCCAAAGCATAAGTTTTACTAACAGACATCTATTAAATACTTCCTGTGTGTCAAGAACTAGACAAGACAGGAAACACGGAGGTCCACAAACACCAGTCTCTATTCTTGGAGAGCTTAGGAATTCACAAGAACGGGTATAGTTACGTCTGCCCGAGTGGATTTTTTGACTGTGCATGCAGTGAATTCAATAATCTTGGCTCTAACTGGTTTCTGAAACTGTCATCCAACATCTTGGGTGGTCCTGAGAAGCCATTGTAAACACAGATATGATCAGAACCAGGAGATCACAAATCACGCTTTGGAGGAAGTCAGTTGAGTGTCTCCCCGCTTATCAAGGACAGTTTTATAATCCCCAGATGGAAAGACAGAGTTGGGCGGTCAGATGAGTTTTCTAGTTGAGGATCTCTCCTGAATTCACTTCCTAATGTAGACAATGAAGAGTGACATGAGAAAACCGTACCAAGCAAGCCAGCAAGTCAGTCACAAGTGTGGAGCTGTGTGAGCAGCCGGAGGGGCTTGGTGGTGCATTTTGGGTCTGGGTTAGTGAGATCAGCTCTCGAGGGACTGTGGTTATTTCCGGCTGCATGTTTAGACTTTTCTTTTTTATACATCTGGGACCTTTAAAAAATAAAATCCCTAGGTCCCTTCCCCGGAGTTTCTGATTCAGTAGGTCAGGGGTCGGGCTGGAAATTTCTAATTTTGAAAAGCATCACAGGCGACTGTGACACACACACCTTTGGTTAAGAACCAGAGGAGGGGCCAGGGTGGTGGTTCAGTGGTAGAGCGCTTGCCTAGCATGCATGAGGCACTGGGTTCGATCCTCGGCACCACATAAAGATAAAAACAAATAAAATAAAGTTCTTGTGTCCATCTACAAGTGAAAAAAAAAAACACAGGAGGGGAGCTTAGGATTGGGGTGTTATCTCGCCCCTAGATGGGCAGAAATCCTGGCCCATCACCTGCCTGCCCAGCTGTCTCTCCAGTGGACTCCTCTATCACCTGCACTCAGGGCCACTCTACTTTGACCCAAAGTCAGCTGCCAATGGGCACTTTGTTTGGCAGAGGGGCACCTTACTCCATCCATACCTGAAGCTCACTGTTTGAGTCAGCTCTTTTGCTGCTGCGACTAAAAGACCCAACCAGCACAATTGTAGAGGAGGAAAAGTTGATTTGAGGGCTCACGGTTTTTCATTACTTGGGGCTGGAGGTGAGGCAGGACTTCATGGTGGAAGAGTGTGGTGGAGGGAAGCAGCTCACATGGTGATCAGGAAGCAGAGAGAGATTCCACTCTCCAGGAACAAAACATATACCCCAGAGGCATGCCCCCAATGCCCCCCTCCTCCAGCCACACCCACCTGCCTCCAGTGACCACTCAGTTCATCCCATCAGAGAGCAATTCACTGATTGAGTTAAGGCTCTCACAACCCAATTATTTTTCCTCTGAACCTTCTTGCATAGTCTCACGTGAGCTTTGGGGGGACCCCTCCCATCCAATCCTCAACAATCACCTACTGAAAGTCAGACAGATGAGCAGCCAGCTGGATCGGAACATGTTGCTAGGTCCCCCTGTGCCCACTCCATGTGGACACCTCCCTCTGAAGACCTAAAACTCCAATAAGCCAAGGGACACTCCTGGGTATCCCTGAGTGATGTTGCAGAGTCCTCAAAGCTGAATTCCTACATTTGGTGGTGAATGGGCTGAAGTTAGGACCCCTCAGGGAGGACAGCAAGCCTGTGAGACAGGTGGGGCAGGTATCCATATGCTCGACTTAAAGATGGGGAAACAGCATGTGGAGTGGTGAAGTCGCCCAGTCACGCAGCGAGGCACTCAGGAACCCAGACACCAACTCTGGGGCTCTTTTCCACTTCTCTGCTTTTGTGATTTCTCCACCTCCAAGTCCAGGAAGCCAGATTTCCTGTGGGCTTGTTATACACATCTGTATGGTGTCTTCTCCCCCCTCTCTCCAGAGCACCTTCTCCCCTCCCTCCATCTTTCTCTCTTCCTTCTCTCCCTTCCTTCCTTCCATGGTCATGACAATTTGCCTCTCTGATCTGTAACTGTTGGAACTGCAATTGACCTTTAACCCCAACCACAGCCCATAAGTCACTACATCATGGCTGAGGCCCAGCCTCCATGGGCCTACTTCCTGCCGGGGATTGAGGTTAGTGGAGATGCCAAGGGAGGCCGCTCCTGAGACACTCGAAGCTCCCTCACCTCCATCTGTGTTCCAGGTTTTCCCATTGGCCTTGCCAAAACTTTCTTAGACTGAGCTGCAGTCTAAGGTGCTTCCACCCAGACTTCCTTCTTTTTCTTCCTCCTTCACAAGACACATTTACATCCGGGCCTAAAAGATCTTCTAGTCTTTTCCATCTCCCCCCGCAATTCCTCTCATACATGTTTTCTTTTATTAATTCCTTGCAAATTTTCTTTCCTCTTTGTGTGTTCTCTGAAGACCCAAACTAACGCCCCTCTTTCCTCCTCCCCCTTCTTTCTAGACTCTATGCCAGCCAGGCTGGAGGCACATAGAATAGTTCTAGGTGATTCTATCCTCAAGGTCCTCACAATCTACTAAAAGAGACAGACCTCAAGAGATCATGACAACACAGCAGCAGTGCAACGAGGTATGGAGAAGGCTCTACTAGCAGGTTCCAGAGAAACTGTAGCTCAGCCAACGTGCAGCTAAAATGGAGGCCCCATTGCACAAGAGTGAATGAGCATCAGTGAGCTGAGCTGAGCTGGCCGGAGGGGTGCGTGAAAAAATGTTCCAGACTGCTGTGCTGCTGGGGCTGATGTTTTCAGGCAGAGAGGATCAGGAGAGGAACAAGACCTGAGCAGGGGCTGGACACTGGACAACTCGGAATGTTGCCCTAAGGTTAGATCCTTATCCTGGGTAGAGTTTCCCATTGGTTGGTCTAAGCCAGGCTACATGAGAACCGTCTAGCACCTGTTAAAAAGAAAAATACCCACCTACATGGAGCCCCCTGCCAGAGGGGAGCCATTTGTGATTAAATATATATTGTTCTCTGAAAGCACATAAAGAATAGAAAAAGAAAATGGAGGCTGGCCTCAACGGACCAGCGATGCTTGATTCAGCACCAGAGGAGCACATTTTTGAGGGTTTAAGAGTCCCTCCCCCCAAAGTCCATTCAGAGTCCTAAGGATGGAGAAAATGTGGGTGTATTTAAGAATTTAACCTTTATTTTTTATTTGTTTATTTTTCACGTGGTGCTGAGAATTGAGCCCAGTGCCACACCCCTGCTGGACAAGGGCTCCCCACCCCTGAGCCACAACCAGCCCCAGGTGTGAATTTTTTAAGAGTTTCTCATTGTTGCTGTTGTCTTTTTTTTTTTCTGGCCTTGTTCACAATCTTTCCTGAGACAATCTGTGATAATCTTCCATTATCTCTCCAAGGTGGCCTGGGACACTTGGGGCCACCTTCCCTTCAAGGAGGGATTGCAACAGAAGGGTTCCTGTAAGCACCTAGGAACGCTAGAGAATTAGAGGCCACCATCCCCCACCTTCCCCAAATTTACCTGGACATTTCCTGACAGAGCTTCCCTGTGAGGTGCCCGGCTTCCCAATCCTCCTCACTCCAGAACCCAGACCCCTCCCTGATCCTGGGGGGCCTGACCCTAGAACAGTTCTTGTCCTGTCATACTGGGGATGGAGAGGGGCTGAGTTGCCTCATGGGCTTGGCTGGAGGTCGGCCCTGGTCTGAGATGCAGAAGGAGTTGTCTTTGCCAGTGGAACTGTTGCTGCAAGCTCTGTCCCTGTCCCTGTTGCCAATCCAATAAAGAGGACACAGTTTTGAGAAAAAAAAAAGAGGGTTTATTGCTTTGCTAGCAAAGGAGAAACACATCAAGTCCCAAAGGCTGTGATTCTAGAGGTGATTCAGAGAAAATGAGATTAGGGAGGAGAAAATGAGATCAGGAAGGAGACATCAGGGAAAAGATCAGGGAGAAGTTTAGGGAAAAGAAGATCAGAGAAGATTAGGGGAAAAGTTAGGGAAAAGAGCAGGGAGCAGAAGATCAGGAGAAGAAGGTTGGAGAAAAGAAAAAAAAATGTACGTTTCATAGCTACAGGGGATATAGTCAAAGCATCAAGTGAACCTTGGTTACAGAATCACCAATGGAAGTGGAAGAGGGTTCCTTTAGCAGGAGTTCTGGGAGGGCAGGGTGAGTTGGAAGAGCTATGTGACCCGCAGCCATGCTCCCCGGCAGGCAGTGGCATCCAGAACAGAGCGGTGGTCTGATCCGGATATGAAGATTCCAGAACAAAGACGCCATTGGATGAGATAATAAGACACAGCCCTGCAAGAGGTTGTACTGTAAGAAGTAAAGAGAAACACCAGTATCTAAGGTGCAGGCAGAGAAAGACAAATCCTTGAACAATAAGAAAGGATGGTTTATATATACTACATTAATTAATTAAGATGGAACGCCGGGTGTGTGGCAGTGTAGACCTGTAATCCCAGTGGCTCTGGAGGCTGAGGCAGGAGGATCACAAATTCAAGGCCAGCCTCAGTAGTTTAGCCAGGCCCCAAGCAACTCAGTGGGACCCTGTCTCAAAATAAAAAAAGAAAAAGGGCTGGTTGGTGTGGCTCAGGGGCTCAATGATTAAGCACCACTGAATTCAATCCCTGATACTAAAAAAAAAAAAAAAAGGAAAGCAAATGTTATCAGAACAACTGAACTAAGAACAGAGTCCTTACTCTGTTCCAGGCATTATTCTAAACTCTTTATATGCAGTGATTACTTTCTTACAGAAATCCTCTGGGGTGACCCGAAGCAGGTGTTCTACCACTTCAGTGCACCAACTGCTAGTATCTGCTTGAGGACTTGGCCCAGGGCACGGCAGGCTGGAAGAGCTGAGGATTGGACAGCCCCAGAGGACAGGAGCAAGCCCCCAGCCAAAGACCTTGGCTATTTAGCAAATCAATACCCCAGCTGCCTGGCTCCCTAGCTATCCATGCCCCAGCTCCCTCTCTCCTACTGTGAGATGACTCAGGGGCTCCCTTCTGCACCACCTCCCTCCCAGAGTTCCCCAGTGAGATTAGGCAGCCTGGGTCCGCAGTTGTATCTTGCTGGATAACCCACTTATAGTGGCTTCCCTTCTAGGATTTACTTCCTGACTTCCCTATTGACACTTTGTTTTTAAATATATATTTTTTTAATTGTCAATGGACCTTTATTTTATTTATTTCTATGTGGTGCTGAGAATTGAACTCAGTGCCTCACACATGCTAGGTAAGCAGTCTACCACTGAGCCCCAGCCCCAGCCTCAGCCCCCTATGGACACTTATTTCCACCTCCCAAACAAACTACTTGCGCTTCAACCCTTGTCTCACCTTCAGCTTCTGAAGGAATCCAAACTAAGACCACAGAAAATCCAAGAACAATGAAAAGAATATAAATATCTAAGTGTAAATGAGAAAAGAATCACCGAGATGCCGTGGTTATTAATTACCAGCTCTCCAGGTTTGACAAAAATGTGCATTTGAATTGCAGTTTATTTTTGAACAGAGGCAAAACTCACCACTCAGATTTCTTACCTTTACCAGGCATCAAAGTCTTTTTTCCCCTTTTATCTTAGAGAAAAATCCTTCCAAATGTCTACCAAAAAATATTAGCTTTAAAAAGCTGAACTTTGCTTTTCTGAATTCCCTGTACTAAACCTTAACATATCTGTTAATGATTTCATTTATTTATTTATTTGGATATGGGGATCTCTCTCTGTTTGGGGCTGACCTCAAACTCCTAGGCTCAAGTGATCCTCCTGCCTCAGCCTTGCCTTGCCGATAGCTGGGTCTACAGGCGTATAGTCCTCACTTGGCTGGATTTTAAAAGGATCCTATCTCTTTCCATTTGCAAACCTGCGCTCACTAGAAAATTAGATTTTAAATTGGGTGCAGTGGCACACGCCTATAATCCCAGCAACTCAGGAGGCTGAGGCAGGAGGATCGCAAGTTCAAAGCCAGCATCAGCAAATTAGTAAGGCCCTAAGCAACTCTTCAATTCCCCTTATGGGGACAGGGCGGGAGGGAGGTAGGCTGGGGATGTGGCTCAGTGGTTGAGTACCCCTGGGTTCAATCCTTGGTACCAAAAAAAAAAAAAATTAGATTTTATATATCATATTTTAAGAGAACATAATGAAGACATAAATATATTTTAAGTAGCCTCTCCACATATACCCTCTCAATTTACTAAGCTACTTTTCTAAGCGCTGGAGAGTTGAGATTGTAGCAATATATTTTCTGTGTCATGTGGAGTATGCTAATCAAAATTTGATGAAACTTGTGCTATGTTGCAGTTTTAAACTTGGGTCACAATATGTCACCGAGCAACAAAACTAATGTCAAATAAAAGACCTTGTATTGAATTATAAAAACGGTGACAACAGGGCAGAATAAAGTTCTGAGTGTTAAGATGGAAGGACTCTTAGTGAAATGACTAATTGAAATTTCGTTGGCGCTCCTTGTTTATTTCCATCAGTGGCCATTAATTTGCTTAAAAGGGCTTTTGTGACTCACAATTATGATAAAATTTCATTAAGTCTTGTATTTTGTATAAGGAAACCTGGTTGGCAATTACCAGTGAGCTTTATTAAACAAATAAGTGCTCTTGAGAATATAAACAGAAACATGACTGGTCTATTTGCCTGTCGACTCCCCCTGATAAGGGGAAATGTGCAGTCCAAGATACCTGCCATGACTTACAGCTCAACGGATAAATGGTGCCAATAAAGCTGCCCCCTGCTGTCTCGCATGAAAGCGCATATGTTTTAAAAATTATGAAAGAAGCTATTTTAAGCCTGGAAGATAGATTCTACATCTTGAGGTCTGTAAAAGCCTTTTATATGAAGAATCATTCTTGCCTTAGTATTTGAATCATTGTTATGACATACAAATGCCAGCAATATCACTTAATTTAAGGCCTTCTTTGTGTGTGTGTGTGCATGTGTGTGTGCATGTGTGTGTGTGTGTGTGTGCACGTGTGTGTGTGAGATTGAGTATCATTGTGCATGCTAGGCAAGCGCTCTACCATTGAGCTACATCCCCAGCCCTTGAGGTCTCCTTGATGCTATAACTTTGGGCTTTTATTTTCCTTTCTCTCAATGCAACAAACTTTAGCATTTAGATTTCTGCCTTTGAAACTAGTCACCAATAAATTCATTTCATATTTAAATATGAAAGCTCCCTTTAAGATGCCCTGGCTCTCACATAACATATTTGCATAAAAAGGATTAGATAAAAAATATCATGGAAAGTATAATAACAATGATTACAAAAGCAACAATAGGGCTACTATGTTTTGAATGCTCTTTGTCCCTCTCAAAGTTTCATATGTTGGGAGCTTGATACCCACTGTGGCAATGTGGAGCTAATGGAGTCTTTAAGAGGTGGGGCCTAGTGGAAATTTCTATGTCAATCAGGGGTGTGCCTTCAAAAGGGACAAGAGAGTTCTCATGGGACCATGGTCAATTCTTGTGAAAGGATTGTTTTACAAGTTTGAGCCTGACCCCACCCGGCCTCTGTCCTCCTGTTTGGCCATATAATCACTGGCAGCTAAATGCACTCCTGCCAGTGCTATCCTCCATGATGTGATGCAGCCAATTGGGCCCTCACCAGAGCTGAGCCAATGCCAGTACATGCTCTTGAACCTCCCAAACTGTGAGCGAAATAAACCTGTTTTTCTTCGTAAGTTGCCTGCCTCGGGTATTTCATTACAGCAATGAAAACTGACAAATATAAGTGCCTATTGTCCTCCAGACAGTCTTTACACACATTATCTCATTTTAGCCTTATAGCAACTCTATGAAATAAGTATCATTATTATTTCCATTTTAGATGAGAAAACAGAAGCACAGAGAGCTAAAGAACTTGCCCAGGTCAAAGAAATAGCATGGCCAAGCAGGATTCAAACCCAGCATCCTGATAGAAGCTCTTGATGCTAGTTTGCAGTTAAGCACTGCTGAGCCAGAAGAAAGCAGTTGTCTAAAGAAACTGCCAAATATGAGAGGCCAAATCGAGGTTTGTATCTGTACTTTTTAAGGATTCTTTCTTTCTTTTTTGAACTAAAACCATGTATTACAATGGAAAATGAGCAAAAAAATGAGCATTCTTAATTTAGTCCTATGTTTGCATTAAAGCAAAAAAAAAAAAAAGAAAAGAAAAAAGTCATTCATAGCAGGATTCTTCATCTTACTAACAGAAACCCAAGAAAGCCATGTGGTATCCATGATTAAAAAGGGAAAACTGGCTGGGCATGGTGGTGCTCACCTGTAATCTCAGCACCTTGGGAGGCTGAGGCAGGAGGATCATGAGTTCAAAGCCAGCCTCAGCAACTTAGTGAGAACCTGTCTCAAAATAAAATTTTAAAAAATGGGGGAGGGAAGCTGGGGTTGTGGCTTAGTGGTTAACTACCCCTGAGTTCAATCCTCAGTACAAAAAAAAAAAAGTGAAAACTGGGTACTGAAATGTTCTTAAAGCATCTTTTATATTAATTTTATGAATTCTGTTTCTCCTTCCTGTTTTATTGAGATATAATTAACAAGCAAAAATTATATTTACTCAGGGTGTGCAATGTGATGTTTTGGTATATGTATCATTGTGACATGATCTCTACAATCAAGCTGATTAATACATCCATCATATCCCAGAAGTGAGGTCTCATCAGAGCAGTCTGATAGCGTAATCCAGGCTTACAAGCCTGATTCCCTCATCTTCACATAGATTTTGTGAGCTCCCCTACTCTCTTAGGATGCTCCTTTTGATATAATCAGGCAGAATGGGCCTTGTAACCAAAAACCTGCCTGACATACTTGCTGTGTGGTTCTGCATGACTGTCTCACTGCATGATGGTTTCAGGCAGAAGCCAGCCTTGGTGGGCAGTCAATGGGACATGGTTATCCTGATCCTACTTCTTGGAGGCCAGCCTTCTGGAGCTTATCAGGGGTCAAGTGCCAATTCATAGGCATTGGGGAGTTTTAGAACCAGAGCCAAGAGGCTCGTAAGGTTAGTGGGTTTCAGCAGTGGGCTCAAAAGTGCATTTGGGGCCAGGCATGGTAGTGCATGCCTGTAATCCCAGTGGATCTGGAGGCTGAGGCAGGAGGATCGAAAGTTGGAGGCCAGCCTCAACAATTTAGCAAGGCCCTAAGCAATGTAGTGAGACCCTGTCTCAAAATAATAAATTTAAAAAAATTGGTTGGGGATATGGCTCAGTGGTTAAGCTCTGCTGGGTTCAATCCCTGGTACCAAAAATATACAAATAAAAGTACATCTTGGCCCTTAGGGTCACTTGCCAGCCAAGTGCATTGCAGAAAATGGTGGCTAACTTCTGCACAACATAGAATGGTATCAGGGATACCGATCCCTTTGGCTAAACTTATTTTTAACCCATACAACTTATCTGTTTATTAGATGTCCTCAGGTGGATATCGTGCTGCAGCTGCTTCCTGAATACCTAATGGGATTGAAGACCACAGTAGAACCCCATCCCCTCCTTCCTTTGGCTCTCCATGACGCCTGGCTCAGAGGTGAACTGCAGGAATCTTCATTGGCATGAGAGCAGGGCGGTGGAGAGGGGGCCTTCATTGCATCATTTCCAGTTCATTAGCTGGGATTACAGGCGTGTGCCACCGCACCCGGCTCTCTTTTACTTTCCCACTGTCACACAGACCAGAATGCACTGCCAGATCAAATACTGGCATAAGCACTGACTTTCTATTGATGATCCATTGACAACTGGCTCGGGAGGCTGAGGCAGGAGGATCGCGAGTTCAAAGCCAGCCTCCACAATTTAGTGAGGCTCTAAGCAACTCGGTGAGACCCTGTCTCTAAATAAAATACAAAATAGGGCTGGGGATGTGGCTCAGTGGTTGAGTGCTCCTGGATCCAATTCCTATTACCAAAACAAACCCACAAAAACCAAAAATAAACTTTACATTTGCCATTAGATTTCAGAGATTGGAAGAAGTCAAACGATTGGACATTCTGGTGCATGGGAATTATTGGTCTTAGGGTGCCTCCTCTTATTGACTTTACACAAGTTGGAAAAGAAACTGTAGTTCCTCATTTTCTCTCAATTATTTCATACAATCACATAAATGATACAATAAATATACATTGAATGTCACAATTTGAGTTATGACTATGTACAATAAATACGGTACTGTAAAAATTGCATCTCGACTCACTGCTTCCTAGTTTGATCACAAAATCCACTTTCCAATAGATTTCGTGAGTCTGAAACCTTATTTTCCAGCTCTCTTAATGCAAAGAGAGCTGAGGTCGACTCCTAGGCGATGCTTTTGTTTTTGTTTTTTAGATTCTAGGAATTCTGTTCACTTGCACCCTGAGTCACCTAGCTGGTGGTTTAAGTAGCAGTGAATTGCAAATGGGTCGGGTTTTCCCTCCCATTTCCCTCTGTGTTGAATGTGATTTCTGTTCTTGCTTGCTAGTCTTATTGTAATGTCTGCTAGCCTCATCCTGAACAATTATATTTCTTTGTATGTAGGGCTTTCATGCTAAAGCAATTTATCATTTCAACAGAGATGCTCTGGATTTATTTTATTATTAGCTGCTGAGCCAAGAACATCATAATGCACAGGGTGGTTATAATAAGAACTGCGTGTGGAACTATTAACCTGGCTGGCCCTCGCATCAGTGCGGAGAATTATTATTCCTGTCAGTCATTTGAAATTTAACTGCATCCTCAGAGAATAACATAACCCTTTAACCTCATTTGAGTAGACTGTTTTGTTCTCGGTCCTGTGTTCAGCCACCATTCTTTTAGAATCGTGACTTTCAAGCTCTTTTGAGAGTAATCCACAATAAGAAACACATTTCACATTACATCCACAGGAACAAATATAAAACTGAACAGAAGCTTAACAAAACCACATTTCTTCTCCTTATTGGGGATGCCTGTTTTTAATTTCTATTCTGTTCTGATTAATTAAAGATTTGACTGCCAGGTCCAGTGGTGCATGCCTGTGATCCCAGCAATTAGGGAGGCTGAGGCAGGAGGATCTCAAGTTGGAAGCCAGCCTCAGCAATTTAGGGAGATCCTATCTCAAAGTAAAATTATTTTTTGGACCAGGGATTGAACCCAGAGGCGCTTCACTACTGAGCTACATCACCCCCACCTTTTTTATTTTTTTATTTTGAGACAGGGTCTTGCTAAATCGCTTAGAGCCTTGCTAAATTGGCTTTGAGCCTATGATCCTCCTGCCTCAGCCTCCTGAGCTGCTGGGATTACAGGTGTGAACCTTCACGCATGGTGGTCAAAGTAAAATTTTTAAAAAGGGGGGCTGGGGATGTTTCTCAGTGGTAGAGCACCTCCGGGTTCACTCTCCAATAACCCCAACACATACACAGAGAATTGACTGATACCCCTTGAACTGATTTCCAAACCCACTAACGAGTCTGGAATCACAGTCTAAAAAGAAATAGTTTACGAAGGTATTCCTCAGCTATCCAAGGAGCAATTAAGAAAGATCTTGGTATCCTCAATTCTTTTTGCTGTTTCTTCTGAGATCTCCGTCCACCTTTCTATAATGCTTTTTCTTAATGTTTTTCTTTGTTATTAGATATCGTCTATTTATTTCTCGGGGAAAATGAGAATTTAACTCTCTCTGTACACCTGCTGCAAATACACATATATTTCCCTTCCTCAGCTCCTGAGATAATATGAGAGCTTGGTTAACAACATTCATTGTTTATATGATCATCATTCTGTGTATCAGTCAGGGTCCTAGTGAAGAACAGATGGCACGCTCAAATTGGGTAATTTGAGAAGAATTGAATAAAGGACTATTTATATAAGTGTGGGTAGCATACAGGGAACCACTAGAGATATGGCTGGGAAAACTATGGGGACTCCATTATCACTCGTAGGCCTCAAAGGACCTGGGGACAGAGAGCTGCCAGATAGCAGTTGTAATCATCGGTTAAGGCATGAGGCCAGCCTTAGATGCCCACGCCATGAACGGAGCCAGGGAACTAAGTGCCTATAACCCATGTCTTCCCTCTGATCTCCTGCCGGGGCTCCCCTGGGGTACACCCACCTGGAAGCCAGAGGCAAAGGAGCCTATTGGTGGAATCCATAGATGGTGGCCTCCCATCACAGAGCAGGCGGGGCAGGCTGGATGGATCTGGAAGGCAAGGCAAACACAGGCAGCACATTATGTAACTCGTATTCACAGCTGAGGACATTTAGCATTCTTTTCTTTCTTGAGTAACGCTGATTTTCCTTGGAGTTAATAATTGGATCTTTTTCTGCAAGACTTTTTTTTTTTTTTCGTTTTTGGTTTCTTGTGTTTTAAATTCAAATTTTGTTTCTACCCCAATGATTCACACTCCTGTAGAGTCCAACAGTTCCACAAGGTCAAGAATGAAAAAGAACAGCTGGGCATAGTGGTGCACGCTTGTAATGCCAGTGTCTCCGGAGGCTGAGGCAGGAGGATCGCGAGTTCAAAGCCAGCCTCAGCAACAGTGAGGCCCTAAGCAACTCAGTGAGACCCTGTCTCTGAATAAAATACTGAATAAGTCTGGGGATGGGGCTCAGTGGTCAAGTGCCCCTGAATTCAATCCCTGGTACAAAAAATAATAAATAAATAGCATGAAAAAGAACAGTCCTCTGTAGCCCATCTCTTGCTCTCTGCTACCCAAGGCCACCGATTTGCTTCTTCTTTAGCTGATCCTTGTGGTATTTTCCTTCATATCACAAAATGACATGCTTGCGGTGATAACCTGCTCTGCACAGCGTGGGCATTATCTACTGGTGGCTCAATATGCAAAAGGAAGATTTTGGTTCTTTCACCCATCTCCCCTCCTCGCTCACAGCACACCAAGCCTCCAGCATATTGCATCATAATTTTAACTAAATCAACATTCGACCTTTACATTATTATGATTACATAAATGTAATCCATGCCTAAACTATATAGTGACCCCTAGTTATCTTTTCTGGCCCTCTCAACTTTCTTTAACTTGATTTTATTTGTTTATTTACTTTTATGTGGTGTGAGGATCAAACCCAGTGCTTCACACGTGCTAGGCAAACGCTCTATGACTAAGCGACACCATCAGTCCTAATTCTCCTTTGTTTCTTCTTTTTTTTTTGGACTAGGGATAGAACTTCAGGGCGCTTAACCATTGAGCCACTGAGCCAGCCTTTGTTATTTTGTATTTTAAGACACACTCTAAGTTGCTTAGGGCCTTGCTAAGTTGCTGAAGCTGGCCTCAAACTTGTGATCCTCCTGCCTCAGCCTCCTGAGCCACTGGGATCACAAGTATGTGCCACCACACCTGGCTCTAATTCTCTTTTCAATACATTCAAATACATATTCCATATTTTATTTAATTCTTGCTGAGTTTCTTAGGGCCTTGCTAAGTTGATGAGACTGGCTTTGAACTTGTGATCCTCCTATCTCAGCCTCCTGAGCTGCTGGGATTGCAGGTGTGTGCCCCTGCTACCGGCTTTGCATTTTTTTTTTTTGACTAAGAAAACCTTTCCCTTCCCATATTTTTGGTGAGAGCTGAGTTGCCAGCCTGTTTGACCCAAACACTGAAAATGGGGAATAGAAACACGCTGATTGGCTTGGACCGTCAAGCTGGAATTAAGCTCTCTTTTCTTGAGGAATGGATATGTAAACGAAAGTGGAATTCTGCCATCAGGTACAGGGTGAGATGGCTACTGGGCAGGCTCCCACAGCGCCAGTTACAGCACGGACTCTAGTCCATGGCAAGCATTAGATATATCTTGGCTGCTGTTATTAGCTCTTATTAGCTATGGGAACTTCTTCGTCAAGGCATATACCCCCTCCTGCTCCAAATTCTTCATCTGTAAAACTGAGAGAGGAGGGCTGGGGATGTAGCTAGCTGGTAGAGTGCTTGCCCCACATGCACAAGGCCTGGGTTCCATCCCTAGCACCACAAAGAAAAAAAAAAAAACCAGAGAGAGAATAATCTGATTTATTGGATGGTCATAAAATAAAATGAGATGATGTGTGTAAAGTCTTTGGTGCCTCATAAATGCTAGCTAGTTGTTAAACTTGTATATAATTATTGTCCAAATACTTGGGGAGTAGGCTGGGGTCTCCCAACAAAGGTTCCTGAGATTGGCCCCAGCCCGTGTAACTAATTTTCTTTATGCAACTCATAGAATCTCTTTATTTACTTTTTGTTTTGTTTTTTGGTACTGGGGATTGAACCCCGGGGCACTCAACCACTGAGCCACATCCACAGCCCTTTTTATACTTTATTTAGAGACAGGGTCTCGCTCAATTGCTGAGGCTGGCCTCAAACTTGTAATCCTCCTGCCTCAGCCTCCTGAGCTGCTGGGATTACAGGTGTGCACCACTGCATCTGGCTCATAGGATCTTTTCCTTGTTCTTTGGGTTTCCAAATTTTGTGATCATTTGCATATTCGTAGTTGTTTTCAGGTCAGCCGTTCTGTGATCCACTTGATCAGTGCTTTCAGTCTGGAAATAGGTATCTTTCAAGTCTGAGGAATGTTCTTGAATTTGGATGGTTCTTACCTTTCATTTGTGATGTGTTCTCAACCAGATTTTATTAGCTTTAATTTCCTGTTTTCCACCTCTCTCTTTTTGCTCCCTATCGTAGGCAATAGACTCAACTTTAGTTTCCAATCTTCCCATTGGGTTTTTCATTTCTGCTATCTTAGTTTTAATTTCTAAGGGTCCTTATTTATTTATTTATTTTTCTTGTGGTGCTGGGGATTGAACCCAGGGACTTGGGCATGCAAGGCAGGCACTTTACCAACTAAGCTATACCCCCAGTCCTATTCTTTAAGTGTTTTCTTTTTATTTGCTTGCAATATCTTGTTTTATTTCTCAGAAAATATTAAGCATCAGAGATGAACTCTGTAGGATAGTTTCTTTTATTCTGAACAGTTTGGCCTCTGTCCTGCACTTTAGAGAGTCTCCTAAGATATCTGGTAGCCCTAAAATATCTGTTCATGTTTAAGATTATAATCTAGCTGGGCACATTGGCTGGGGAGGCTGAGGCAGGAGGATTGTGAATTCAAAGGCAGCCTCAGCAAAAGCGAAGCCCTAAGCAACTCAGTGAGACCCTGTCTCTAAATAAAACACAAAACAGGGCTGGGGATGGGGCTCAGTGGTCAAGTGCCTCTGAGTTCAATCCCCAGTACCCCCCCCCTCCAAAAAAAACCAGATTATAATCTAAAAACGTGATTGGAAGAGAGCTCAATGGGAGTAATTGATTATAGATCTCACACAATCTAGTTAGACCATTATACTGAAATCAGAATATTTAGATCATTTTCTTGCAGATGCAAGGTTCTCAGACAAGAGCCATTCTAGAAAGCTCCTTCTGGAAAGACGTCTAGAGAGTGGATGTCCGACTTTCAGTCGGAGATGAGGGCTGAGGTCCTGATGGTCAGTTAGCCTTTGCTTGTGCCCTATTTTCAGTACAGGATCTCCCCCTCTACTGTGCTTAATGTCCCCTCTGCCCAGTCCAGAGAGCCCCTGCCCTCCAGAGAACACAGCTGAGCATTTGGCTCGAGTGGGGGGCAGCACTTGCCTTGCTGAGTTTGGGGATCTGTTTTTCAACTGGCTTCTAATGCCAACACTGTCGGTGACTATGTTCTGGTGTCTCGGCTCTCACCTCACCTTTCCATGCTTTGTGACACTGAGGCAGGGACCCTGCAAAGCACAGACTTGGCTTAGCTGTTCCTTGTTGGGCTCTACCCATAGAGGGCAATAGAGGGAAACTGGAAGACTGGGCAAAGAAGGAGGGAGGAGGCACTTCCTGTTGGCCTCCTGTTCCTGTGGTCAGCATCCGGAAGGGCCTCTCCATCCAGCTGTAGCATCAGTGGAAAGATTTTTTTTTTCCATTTATTGTGGGGGGACGGGGATGCTGGGGATTGAACTCAGGGACACTCGACCACTGAGCCCCATCCTCAGCCCTTTTTTAAATATTTTATTTAGAGACAGGGTCTCACTGAGTTGCTTTGGACCTCGCTAAGTTGCTGAGGCTGGCTTTGAACTCGAGATCCTCCTGCCTCAGCCTCCTGAGCGCGGGGATTACAGGCGTGCACCACCGCGCCTGGTTGGAAGGTGGTTTTGCAGTTTTTCCGACATTTATACAACCAACCTCATCACTTGCCACCCCAGAGACTCCGGCCCGTATAGAGGAGCACCCCTACTTCAAGCTTCCAGGTTTTGATAATTCCAACTTTTTCCTTTGTTCCCCACCCAGCTCTGGGAATTACTCCCTCCATGATTCCTTAAGAATTCTCTTTTTACCCTTTCAGTTACCCAGTTAACAACTCATGCCTGCTTAACAATTCTTTTTTTTTTTAATATTTATTTTTTAGCTGTAGTTGGACCCAATACCTTTATTTATTTATTTATTTTTATGTGGTGCTGAGGATTGAACCCAGGGCCTCACATGAGCTAGGTGAGCACTCTACCACTGAGCCACAACCCCAGCCCCTTAACAATTCTTTATATGAAATTCCTTCTGTTCAAATAATGGATATGGCCTTTGTCTCACTCATTTTATTCTTTGTAGTAAATTCCTTTGATCTCAAATAAATGGTGTGGCCTCTGTTGCACCAATTTAATTCTTTACATTAAACTCCTTCAGTCTCACCAGGCATGGTGGTGCACACCTGTAATCCCAGTGGCTCTGGAAGCTGAGGCAAGAGGATCACAAGTTCGAGGCCAGCCTCAACAACTTACCAAGGTCTTAAGCAACTTAGCAAGACCCTATCTCTAAATAAAAAAATAAAAAAAAAGCTGGGGATGTGGCTCAGTGTTGAAGCGCCCCTGGCTCAATCCCTAGTACCCGCTTCCTCCAAATTCCTTCGGTCTCAAATAATTGGTGTTATTTGTGACCATATCCCAAGTAATTACCCTGCTTTCTTGTTTCCTAACCCCATCTACGTCCTGCATTAACATATTTAGTTGCCTCCAAGTCTCAGGCTTTTCTAGAATTTTCCAACAAAAATTAGCTGGCTTCTTGGTCTCCCTGACCCCCTTTGAAAACAAGATTCAGCCTCTTGTGGTCTGCTGGGTCACTAAGTATTTTTCCATCTGCTTTCTAGCTTCTAAAGATTTCTTGTTCTCTCCTCTTCCTATCTCTTTGCCCCTGTAGGGTTTTAATC